CAGAATGGAAAGACCAAGAGATTAATTTTATTTTATCTCTTGTGCCTTTGAAGAAAGCACTGCCTCAAGATCAGAAAGATGTGCAAATTGTGGGTTCCCACATGAGGTTCGAACTCGAGTAAACCGTGAAATTCTTGCGCGACACAAGATGTAAACAACGTGACTCGGAACGGTTCGAGTATGTGTCAAACTATCTGTCAAGGTCTTAGCGGAAGACAAACTCTAACACGAGTGCTCATAAACAGGTAGATCTTTCACTCGCGAGTCTATAAAATGTTGGGCGTGATAAACCTTTTCGAACAAAAATAAAAGAGGAATTTTTGATAGATGAAAGATGAAAATTATCGTTAAATTCTTAGACGTAAAACAAATGGTAAACAACGGCCTGAGTTATGAGTGCAGGTGTTATTGTTTTTTAAACAGTCACCGAGCAGAGTCGACAAAGAGATATCAGATGGACACCTCGAATCGGACCTTTCCCGCGACCCGAAAAGGTTTCGTCTTGCACTTGGAGACAAAGAAGAGACCAATTGGGAAGCGAGGAATAGGACGAGGGACCAATCCGAAATGCGAATAGTGGGGGAAAAACTATAAAAATCGGAACTTCAAGGTCGAAGAAGAGTCTCCTCTGAATTAAGCCTACAGTTGTGCTTTATCGATTGTGTTGTGCTACCGCCGATCACTTAAGATGCCGCAGCTTAACACTGAACATCTGCATCGTCCAAGGATCCTTCTCGTCCGCCCGGGCTACGACCGATCACCCAAACTCTCACCATTTCATAGGAACACCGAGATTTTGGAATTGTCCAATATCGATGTAAGCATGAATTCGAACAAATAAACGAGTTTTCTCTTGTAAAACACTTGTTCTTCATTTGCCTCCTTTGCCACCGTCCACATACGCTGTTTCCCTTAGGCTCATTCTGACGCGGGATTAATTGTATTCTCCCTTTCAGTCGGCAACCTTACAAAATTCAAATTCTAAAAATACTTCAAAATGCTATGAAATCCCAACTGACAGTGACAATTACAACGCTTCCTTTCAACCAAGCATTTTACTAATCTGGCTCATCAGGAATTCAATTTCATAAACTATTTTCTCAGTCTTTCACTCCAAATTATTTTCTTTATTCCGAACCTCAATCAAATCAGCACTTAATTATTCACTTCATCTACTCTTCGACATATTGGCCCTTCACCATCTGTTACTCTTGCATCCTTACTGCACCCAAGCCCTCAGACCCATCATAAGTTATTAATAAAACTTCACCTCATGATTTCAATAGTGCATAGTCATATATCTCAAATATTTCAGTCTCCTCTGACGAATCTGAAGATATGTATGATATATATGTTCAAATCCGAGAATCTTAAAAGAAAAATGAAAGTAAGATACTTTTTTATTTTAATTACCAATGATATGTTAATTAAGTGAATAATCATTGTTATAAGAAGGAAACTGGTTTTTCAAAAAATAAATGAATGAGCTTGGAAAATAAACATAATTATAGTGTTTTATTATAACTTACCTTAAAGTAAGTCTCTCTTTAGATGGAATTGATAATCACATATTTGTGTTCTGATGAGTTATGGCAGGTTTCAAAATCTGTAGTAATTCTTCAAAATTTCAACTCGTACGGAAATATCCAAAGAATTTTTTAGGATAGGAACTCAGTTCACCAAACATTAGATGAAATTTGATTGTTCAAATGTTTGTACATTAACATAAATTTAGATAATAAGTATCGTTCTTATTTTATATATTTAATTAATATGACCATTAGCTCCAAATTGGGTGGACCAAGTAGCACTCTTTTCGTTGATTTCGTCTCTACGTTTTATGACAAATGCATACATCATAGGGCCTCATGAAAGTCTATACTGACGAATAATGAAATAAAACAAGTTTTTGCGGTGACAGTCATTTGCCGTGTGAGCACAAATACTGTCCAATATCGTGTGACAAAACTGACTAAACAGTCACGCGACAAAAAATTCCCAGTAGTGTGCGGTTAGTCTCAGAAAGTTGAATGTATGAAATGAAATTTTGAGAGTTTTTTTAAGTGGAGACAATTGTCTCCACTTAAAAATGGATTTAACATGCTCGCACGCAGCGGCGGCCTTATCCATTGCGAGGCTCTGGGCGGCAGATCTTTGCGAGGCCCTTGTCCTTTGTGCAAAGTATGTGAATTGAAATAGTAGGCACTTATTAATATTAATATATACTGTACTATAAATTAAATTTATTTTATTGTTATAACTAATAGCCAAGGATAAAATAAAAAGTTTTAAATATCAACTTTTTTCTACTTGGTTGTTGCGCGAGGCCCCTCCAAGAGCGAGGCCCCGGGCGATTGCCCTGCTCGCCACCCCCTAAGGCCGCCACTG